CCTTATCATACAATTCCACATGAACATTAGCCAATCGCTTCTTATTGCAAACAGTAATACCTTTTACGGTAACATTTTGCATTTTTGCTGAGACGGAGATGCAATAGAGCCCGAGGGCAACAAGGATAACCAGGGATTGCATAATCTAAACAACGCAATTTTACAGACTTTCTGCCAAAAGTAAATTAAACTATACGCAGACAAGGCAGAAGCTGAGAACGTAAAAATAGCCAAAAATTCTCTGAGATTACTGTAGAGGACTGGAAACTTCAAAGCAAATTTACACTTTAGATAGTTCTTGTGAGAAGGTCGTGGCTTGATCTAATTGTAAGGAATTAGAAGCATCTGATGGGGCAAAGTTCACCTAAGATTCATCGGGAATGAAGTAGCAGAGGCTATTTATACGAGAGATTCAATGGCAGCTGCTGCTTGTGTTGTATGTGAGCGACGATTGGTCAAAACATCGCCATCGATCTCACGCATTTAAGAGGACAATCATCATCCAAAAGATTATTGATGACATAGATAACAGTCGTATTTAGGCCGATAAACATACACAGTTTGCTCTCAGATATAAGGATATCCTTTGAATAAAAAAAGGCTTAGCTCCGGGAGGAAAATCTGAGGTTAGTGAAGAAACTAAGAGTAAAACATCATAGCCTGCTAACAGCAATCAAATCAGAGCCTAAACCCTTCAAATCCTTCGTATATCCGCTGCAAACCAGAATCCCACATTGCTGAGATCATGTTGGCTGTAAAAACATATTTACTGTCTATGATGCCATAAACTTACATCGATAAATGTCACAGAAGAGATGATTTCTGATATAATTTTCTAAAAATATCCATTCAGTAGATAATCCCCATGGCTTATTTACAGCCTTTTTGCTAAGCTACATACATTATTTAAAAATCACGATGCTATCCATTATATTTTACTTATAGTTAGAGCAAATAGTTGTATACCTAAATCAGATATTTTTCCACCCAAAAACCATCCACGCCAAGAAAAAAAAAACAGAAAATGGTAGGTTTACACAGTAATTTTTGCTATTTCAATGCAAATTAAACGATCGTCCCTCATTATTGAAATGTTTCGGAAGATATCCTTTTCCTATAAATAGTAAAATTACATTGCAAAAAGGGAAGGCGCATAATACATAACTTTTTCTTTCTTTATATTACCCAATTTTACAGGACATTCTCTCTCTTCGCGCCCTATAGATCTTCCAGAAATTTTGTCGAAAGGGGACATCAGAAGGGACTGCTCTATTTTCTTACGAATTCTTAGCCTTTATATACAAGATGCAAATTCCTGAAAAATCCTGTGAAGTGATAAACTCGAGAAGCTTTCGATTCTCTACATATAAGGGTTTTAACAAATTAATAGAGGATGTGCCAGATCCGAGATATGGGACAATGTCAACTCCAAGTTTGCCGAAGTCCTTGTGAAAACTTCATTTTAAAGTTTAAACGATGTCTTTAGGTGATACAGTGGTTAATTCGTCGTTCCTTTTGGCTTACGAGCAAATCAGCTGAATAGCGGAAGCATTGAAAGATACAGTGACTTTCTCATGAAGGGTTGAGTATTGAGGAAGCGGTATAGAGCTCTAAAGTAATATTTATTCTTTTCGCAAGCTTGTACTGTTCCGAAAATCTATTTGTTACCCTTCTGCAATCATTGCGAATATGGGACGAAAGTAATAGGTAACAGTCAATCCCTTAGCCGCCTTAGTTCCTCCTGATGAAATTTGAGCCATTGTGAAAAATCGAAATGCAGAAAAAATTTCTTATCTGCTTTTCTTGCATTTCGCAACAGCTTAACGATGTCCTGCGCCAACATGTTCTACTTTGGATCCGTTCACAGCACGTTGCTGGCGCTACATCTAATCCCTTTCAATGGTATCATTAGAGATAACCCAGGCATTCAGCAATAGATTGACTGAGTAATCATTAACTTTTCATTTCAGCACATATAGTACATCATAAATGGTGAAGGTATGTTCGAGAAGAATTTGCTTATTGTTCCATCGAACTCTTTTTCAATTTGCTTACCATCGTGGATTTTTTTGGGAACCTGCCATTTATTGAAATGTTTTTGAGCTCATGCTTTCAGTTGCTTTGACTTGTAATTTCATATGATATACCTACACGTGCATTGAATAAATAAATAAATTAATCAAATATTGATTGCAGAGTTTGAGCCAGGAAATCTATACCTTATTTCGTTGGGTGCTTTTCAATCACCAATTCCCACCATTCCATATTTAATAGACTTTTCCCTTCCAATTCTGATGTGTTTGCAAAGTTCGTCCCAACTTCTGCTTTTATTGTTGAATCCTTCACTAATCAAATACCTCTTTGGTTTTACCAGGGATGCTCACGCTTTCTTAGAAAATTGTATGCTTATGCTTATTGTAATCTCAAAAATTTTATGTTTCAACCCTAGGTTTCAAGATTTTATTTTGGCAATATTTACATAGGTGTGATCGAAACAAAGTAATTTCCTTTATGATATGAGCTTGAGGAGGATTTCTTGGGGAGCAGTTTTGTCGAATTGGAACAATTAGCACTTTTCCTTCTCATTATGAACAACGATATCCAGGGTGACATAGGTCATATCGTATACTCCACCAATCTTGTCATGAGGCACATTGTAGTCGCTGATACGGACGCATCCCTGAAGAAAAATCAATATAAATATTGTTTTTAAACAAATCAATTAAATGTTTAGATTCTTTTGAATCCAGCAGCTAGTCAAAGCTGGCTTTATGGCTAAGCATCGGCCAGAGAGCCAGCCTTGAATGAGTAATGATAGCCAACTGTTCCGGTGTTGCTGTGTTTTTAGTGGATGCCGGGTGAGTTTAATGATCAACGCCTACAATCATGAATCTTGCAATTTGAAGCTATTATCCAATGAACGAACGTTCTGGAAGAGCATTACGTGCTATGATAGACTTTCGCAGGAAATAGCCGCACTTGCGCCGGGTTACAGTAATCAGCTAGAAGATTTTTACTGGAGTTCTGGGCCAATGTGCTGCTGTACTACTGTACAGAGTGCATCAAACGTCATTAGTTGTGTAGTTTCTAATTTCATTGTATTCAGAATTTTACAATGATTTTCGACTAATCTATTGAAGAAAATTTGAACTCAAAATGTAATAATTTAATTCCAAGCATTTAAATGCTTTTGTGTTTACTTTTTTTATACATAAGTCTAAGCTGACTAATTTATAGTCCCCTCAATGAGCAGCATGTTAGCAAAAGAAACAGCAAATTAAGAATTTATATGACTTCGTCTGTTCTCTCTTCTCTGATGCGATTCTTTTGTTTTAATTAAGGAAGCGACTTAAGAGCTTTTAAGAATTTGATGAGCTTATGTATTAACCTAATCTGACGCATCTAATAGTCAAGTAAGCACCTTACGTTCTTCTTTTTTCTAAGTGAATCAAAGAGGCTAACGAACTTACCGGCTTAGCATTGCAATTGTGATGAATGCGAATGAAGGGTTCAATGCTGCCAACCTGCAACAAAATGGTCATTATTAATTTTTTGAAAGTCATGCTCCGCTGAAATTTTTATATTTGGCATTTTCAAACTGAGGGGTTCTTATCTAAACATTAATGGTCACCTTAATATAGCTCTAATGTAAGCTGTCCATTTCTACTTCTTCAAAAGTGGAAAGTTCCAGAATTTAAAATTTTTGAACAAATGTTTTTTCTCGGAATTAATACCTCGTCTTCTTCTCCGTACAGCTGGAATTCTCCTTCCCTATTGGTATGCACTTCAGCTAAGAGATCATTAGGGTCCACTAAAACGATTTTTAAAAAAAACTTCTTTAAATTTCTTACCCATAGATATTTACTCACAAGTGTCTCTGTCAAATAGTTGAACGCGTTGGTTGGCCAGTCTCTTCTTTTGACATACGGCAACTCCTTTTACGGTAACATTTTGAAGTTTAGCAGAGACAGATAGAGCACAAAGTGCTACTAAGGCACAGACGAGGAGGCACTTCATCTGAAAGAGAATGAATGAATAAATAGAATGAATGAATGAATGATGAATGAGAGTGAACGAACGAACAAGTCAGCAACTATGTTGGAGCATAGCTGAATGAGATTAATAATATTAATAATATGGTGACAGAGGGGATTAGTGCTTTTACCCTTGAGACCCCACCTCTTACTTCTAAGGATTTACCTAGGTAGGACTGGTCATATTTAAATTCTATAAAACAAGGGAGACGGTTAACGTCTGGCCTATAGTCTCTGAAGCAAAGATGCATTAAAGAGGCTGAAAGTGCTACACTTCCTGCTTATATGTTGCACTTTGTAGGCGTGGCCTTCACTAGCACTGATGAATGTATCCTTTAAATGCTTCGCAACTGTTCCGTGCCATTGCTGTAGGCGGCATAGCACATGTGTGAAGAAAGCCCGAAAACCTATAATTTCTTCACGATGTTAAAATATTCACGAAGATCAGAGACCTTTCAATGAGATGAGTCAGAGATTTTCTCGCACAGATAAAAGATATGCTTGTCCTTCTTTCTGCCGGCTATACATATGGAACAAAAAACGAAAACCATGTTTTAGAATCATTCATGAGACATTGCTGAACAGCAGAAATTGAAGAAATCACGTTTTTGCATTGACATTCCGACGTTTTATTTCGTCTCTGAATACAAATTAACGATATTATTCGTGTGGTCACATATCTGAAATCAGCACCGCTTTTTTTCGTATGTGAGTCACCCGTGAACACTACAGAAAACATCGTTTTAACAATACGTTTTCAATAAAGAAAGGCGTACCCTAATTTTAAAGAGTTGAAGTGATGGTTTACAGGCAAATATGGTAGATTTTTTCTACCAGAACAACAACTTCGTGAATCACCAAAACATCACAAGAACTATTTTTTGGGAATGACCAATGTATCGGTCATACACTATGTTTTCCCCTAAAAATCATTAGACCAAGAAAAGGAACTTCGGACAGCTTGATGAAGGTTAGTATGCACATACGAGCAGTAATTAGAGTCAAAAGTTTTCTCATTCTTAATTTCTTCCTATTGTTGTTCACAATGAATCTCGGTACAAATAAGGCTCTATCCCACGATAAAACCTCAGTAGAAATAGGACCTCTATAACCATATTCACCACATTTGAGCATTAGGACTAGTTCCTTCGAGATACGCGCAAATCTTAGAGAAATAAAAAGAAGCCGACTAGAAGCAGAAAGCGGCATGATTTTTGCTTCTATATCCCTTCTTTGTATAGTTTGGTTTTTCGTTGAATGCTTTGTTTGCATCCCAAACCTCAAATCAATAAAATCAGGTCATGGTTGTAGGTAATAACAGACTAACTATTTTTAATGAAATTTTTTTTATTTGGTTTGCAGATAACGTGTAACTACTCAACATGTAGGGTAACTTTTTTGAACTGAAGCTTTTTGTTGCGTTGAAAGAAAAAGACCTTAAAGTCACTTTGTGTCCATGATTCAATCAAGAACTACATGGCTAAGTTCCCCCGCTTCAATTACCAACAACTGGTAGCAAAACAGAGGATAGGACATCAGCAAACAACTGTTCACTGATGTAAATATTATCTGAACGCGAAATTGCTAGAGCGATTGTATGAGTCACAATTTGGATCAACTTATGACTTACAGTCAGTGGCGAACCAGATAAACACATTCTATGAATTATTTAATAGTTCTAGTGTGACTGCAGTTTTGTTCTTCCACATGTTTTCTGTACGGGGTTGTCACTTTGAAAGATTGGAAATAGATCAGCTTCAACGGTACTGAAATCGTGGCATTTATCCTGTAAAGGTAGCGTCGGGCAAGCTTCCACTATGAGATTTCCTTGCATTTGGACCATTTGTACTGAACACTTCAATGTTCGTGAAGTAGACAAAAAAACAGAAATTCAACGCCTTTTCTTTGATGAGGGGGACAAGTGGCAACGTGATTTCAAACCGCCTTATTTCTAAAACGATTGCATGTCTTTGTCACTAGAGAGCATGTTTTTAAGAGAAGCCAAACACGGGCGATGGCGAGGGAGAAATTGTTGAGTAGGCGGGCTGACCCAGACGTCAA